CTTTCCTAAAGATTTGGGGCTGTGAGGTCTATGTAAAACGTTTGCAATCGGACAAACTCACACCTAAATCAGATAAATGCTTCTTTGTGGGGTATCCTAAGGAAACGAAAGGATATTATTTTTATAATCGGGAAGAGGGCAAAGTGTTTGTCGCCCGACACGGTGTTTTCTTGGAAAAAGAGTTTATTTCAAGAAAGGATAGTGGGAGCATGGTGCGACTTGAAGAAATTCAGGAAACACCGGAAAACGCTTCAACGTCCACACAACCACAAGCTGAGCAAGATGTTGTTCAACAGGTTGAACAAGCTGTTGTTGAACCAGTTGTGGAAACACCGGCTTCACGAAGGTCCGAAAGAATACGGCGTACACCTGCGAGGTATGCGTTGTTAACTACAGGACAACGTGATATACTGTTGTTAGACAATGATGAACCTACTATCTATGAGGAAGCAATGGTGGGACCAGACTCTAAGAAATGGCTTGGAGCCATGAAATCCGAAATAGAATCCATGCATGTCAATCAAGTTTGGAACTTGGTTGATCCACCTGATGGTGTAAAAGCCATTGAATGCAAATGGGTCTTTAAGAAAAAGACAGATGTAGATGGAAATGTTCACATCTACAAGGCACGATTGGTGGCGAAAGGTTTCAGACAAATTCAAGGTGTTGATTATGATGAAACTTTCTCGCCAGTCGCCATGCTAAAATCTATTCGGATTGTTTTAGCGATTGCTGCCTATTTCGATTATGAGATATGGCAAATGGATGTCAAAACAGCTTTCCTCAATGGAAATCTCGATGAGGATGTGTACATGACACAACCCAAGGGTTTTGTTGATCCACAATCAGCTAAAAAGATATGCAAATTGCAGAAATCCATTTATGGGTTGAAGCAAGCATCTCGGAGTTCAAATATTCGTTTTGACAAAAGTAGTCAAGGCGTTGGACTTTGTCAAAAACGAAGAAGAGCCTTGTGTATACAAGAAGATTAGTGGGAGCGCATTGGTGTTTCTAATCCTATATGTAGATGACATATTATTGATTGGGAATGATATTCATATGCTTGAATCCGTTAAGACATCGTTGAAAAATAGTTTTTCAATGAAGGACTTAGGGGAAGCAGCATATATTCTGGGCATAAGGATCTATAGAGATAGATCAAAGAGGCTAATTGGATTAAGCCAGAGTACATACATTGACAAGGTGTTGAAGAGGTTCAACATGCAAGATTCTAAGAAAGGTTTCTTAACGATGTCACATGGCATTAATCTTGGCAAGAATCAGTGTCCTCAAACGACTGATGAGCGAAACAAGATGAGTGTGATTCCATATACCTTGGCAATCGGATCCATCATGTATGCTATGCTATGTACACGTCTAGATGTTTCATATGCACTTAGTGCAACAAGCCGATACCAATCAGATCCAGGTGAGAGTCACTGGATAGCTGTAAAGAATATCCTGAAGTACTTGAGAAAAACTAAGGATATGTTCCTAGTCTATGGAGGACAGGAAGAGCTCGTTGTAAATGGTTACACTGACGCAAGCTTCCAAATCGACAAAGATGATTTTAGATCGCAGTTTGGATTTGTGTTCTGCCTAAATAGAGGCGCTGTGAGTTGGAAGAGTTCCAAGCAAGATACAGTGGCTGATTCTACAACAGAAGCCGAATACATTGCCGTTTCTGAAGCAGCAAAGGAGGCTGTTTGGATAAAGAAATTCGTTTCTCAACTAGGTGTGATGACTAGTGCTTCTAGCCCTATGGACCTCTATTGCGATAATAGTGGTGCCATTGCGCAAGCCAAGGAGCTTAGATCGCATCAAAAGTCCAAACACATTTTACGGCGGTATCACCTCATTCGCGAGATAGTGGGTAGAGGAGATGTGAAGATATGCAAAATATATACGGATTTGAATGTTGCAGATCCGTTGACAAAGTCACTCCCTCAGCCTAAGCATGAGGCACACACTAGGGCAATAGGTATAAGATATATTCATGATTGACTCTAGTGCAAGTGGGAGACTGTTAGTGATATGCCCTAGAGACAATCATAGAGATGATTGTATCACATACTATGTTTATATATTTATCCGACATTGTTCCTTGAAATAGATAACTCCGTATTGGTTAATGAATATGTGATTCTTTCATGAGACTCTTTATGATGTTTGTTACTATTTCTAAAGGATCCCTGATCAAATATCATATGTGGAACAAATATGTTTATATGATCAGCACATGTATTAATTCACGATCATGTCTCATAGATCATGGTATAGAGATATCAAATTAATAATGTGGACACATGTTGGTGAACATGTTGTTGGATAGACCCAACATGAGACACTGCAAGAGCCATATGTGTTGTGTCATCAGTGATCTCATTGAGTGTTGGTGTTGAATCCTTAGACCTGAGATTATCATGGTTCTCAACATGTGTAGTAGCTTACTTAAGGACTGCTAAACGCTACTCCGTAATTGGATAGTTATAAAAGTAGCTTTCGGGTATGCTATGAAACATGTAGTGGGATATGAATAATCAAGATGGGATTTGCCCCTCTTATGGAGAGATATTTCTGGGCCCCTCGATGTTGTAGATTATGGAAGTGCATGGCCATGCCAAAGGTGATTGAGGAGTCAATCATAAGTTATATAATCTATCAACAGGTTCGAGTGAATGATTGAGCTATTAGAGGATGGCACATATCTAGCCTTGAGCTTAATCGATATCGTGAGGCAAAGGGGTTCATACAAGTATACACTAGAGGTTCAGCCGATATGATCTTTATGTATGCCCGATGGGTCAATACGTTCTGCTAGGAGCTGCTGTTGACGCGTGGACCGAAAAGGAGTTTTCGGGTTACAGTCAAGTATACATGAACCTACAGGGTCGCACACTTAATGGGCCGAAATAAGGGGATTGGATAGAGATCTAATATGAGTTTAATTCGGATAGGGATCCAAATAGTAGTCCTACGGGCCTTGGAGGCCCGAGTGATGGATCCTATATATTCGTGAGAGGTGTGACCGGTGGAGGTATTGCATCATGTGAGAAACCCTAGCCGTCACTTCCCTACCCGAGCAAAACCCTAGCCGCGCGCGGGTGCTAGCACATCTGCACGTGGCGTTCCGTCCCTGTACGTGTGGATACTGGTAGAGGCGCCGCTGGTTTGCGGTGCTGATTGGCGTGGGAGTACGGCGAAGAGAACGCACGAGGAGGAGAAGGCCGAGCCAGTGCGATCGACTACTTCCTCTACATCGACGCGCGCTACTTCGCGAGAGTTCCTTCGACTTCTCAGCGTCTTCTTCCGCTGCACAGCGCGTTGAGTGGTAACGATCTATGATCTAATACTTGCATGTTTCCTGGTTTACGCGATAGAAAATTTTGATTTATGCTATCGTAGCCTACGCGTATCCCAACAGTTATAGTATTGAATCTTTAATTAGCTAATATATTCTGCGCATATGGTATTTATAAATTGAAGCCATCATAATTTTGATTATCACATATTTAAGAATGTTTTGCAAATCTTATACTGGAAAGAACAATAAACTGCTGCAATCAATGTAATGTCAATCATGATACTTTTCTGAAAATTAGTTTGGAATATCTACCATTTTCCTAATTCTGAGTCTGAGGGTATTGTTCTAGTACAAACAACTCTAAATTATACAAAAGATTTTTCGATATGATTACTGCAAACTGAAAATGATTGTAAGATGCATAAAATGAAATGCTGCTGCCATAGCTGCCCTTATTCCTCAATACCTGAAGCAATTATAAATTTTTTTTTCTTCGTTTAAGATATTTTTTAGATGATTTGTGCTAATAACACGCGCGCGCGCGCGCATGCTTTTTTGTTTTTGAAAAATAGGCTCACTTGAGATCATAACAAGATACTTAGGAGAGAATTTTTAGATTCTAACTCAATCTACAACAGGAACCAACAAGAAAAAGACTTTATGAAATGAGCTAAAAGTTGAGAACGTAGCAAAAGAGTTCTTATTAAGGCCACGTTCGTCCTCAGCACGGAAAACGGAGCAGCGATTAGCACATGATTAATTAAGTATTTACTAATTATTTTTAAAAATAGATTAATATGATTTTTTAAGTACCTTTCATATAGAAACTTTTTGAAAAAAACTCACTGTTAACAGTTGAAAAGCGTGCGTGTGGAAAACGAGGAGGTAGGAACATGTTCTACCTAACGCAGCCAAGTGATCTTCATGTCTCCCTCCACATGTAAATATAATTTAGGTCTTGAAATTTTGCAGTTCATCTACTAAGTACACTTTCCTGTGAACCTTTCGACACAGGTTTTCGCGTCAACACCTTGTTTGATCTCCTCTGTTAGTCTTGATTGTCTAATACGAGTAGAGATTGGCTACGGTGCCAGCTTCTCTGTGCTCCAGTGGATAGTGATTACCAAGGACATCCAAGAACTTGTTAATAATGATTAGAAAAAAAAAAAACTTCAACTGAACTTCAGCGTGAGAAACGTGCAGGGAAAAAGAGATCATCGTTTGTATATACTCCCGTTGATGGTGTATTTTGCAACAGGAGATTTGCCTGACCAAATTGATGAACACCGTCGATGCAACAGGAGCTCCCATTAATGTCGTTGGAGTATAGCACCTATCAGAAGAGAAAAATGTATGGTAGCTACCACTTCCGTCCCTAAATATAATAACTTCTGGCTTATCTGAGAAGTATGTCCAAATATATAGCTAAAAATTACTATATTTTAAATCGGATGTAGTATCTAAGTAATTTTTAGACCTATGGTACATCTCTGCTCTAAGCCATGCTGTGGAACACAATTCTGACCAACTCTCTAGAGACTATTGAATTAAAATCATGGCAGTTATGCATCCAGCCAGCGAACCTATCCTTTCCCTCCCCCCTTCATGTCTTTACGTAAAATCAGAAAATACAAATTGTTCAGACAAACGGTACTTTTTTCATTACCTTCATAGCAAAAACATAAAAAACAGTATATATCATCAAGCATCCACCATAAAATATCATTATCCCACCTCCGGAACGTAGACTTAAACGTTTAATATATGAAACTGAATAAAAACCATGATTTTGACATGTATTTCCTGCTAACAGACTAAATACAAAGCCCAAGTTAAAAGGTACAGTCCATTGTGAAAGTTTGTACATATGTGATCTATATTTTCCATCATCTTTATAGTCACTAACTAAATATCCTCAGAGTTTATATTCTCTTCTATGACCCCGATGCAAGATCCAACTGACTTCCCAGAGGACATTGCCTCCGCGAGCTGTGATCTGGCCTTTTTATGGCGACGCAGTGCAGGTACAGTATTCAGCACAGCCCATCTCACCTGTGAATCAGCTTTCTTCTGGGTGAAACCTAGACCTTTGAGCAATCCATCTAGCTGTAATTGCAAAAAAAAAAAAAAAAGGACGCATAAAATAAACAATGTTGATGTGGTTCCACAATGGCTATCAAAATTCAGAGTCTGTCGACTACCCATGCCTACATACTTGCCCAATGTCAGCTAGTCCTCCTTCAGCATATCCATACAAAAGATACTCTGTTGCTACTCCAGCCAAGGCAATGCATGAGAACTTGTTCAACATCTGCCATTAGATCCAACGTATAGTCAACTGTTCATCACAAACATCATCACAAAAAGAAAAAAATCCAGACTTAACACCAACACTGAATGCTATGGTGCAAATGTTCTCATTTGAATATTAAGTTACAATGTTATAATAGTTGCTCCCTTCGTTTTATACTATAAGACGCTTTGACTTTTCAAAGTCAAACTTCTATAAGTTTGACTATGACTATGTTTATACACAAATGTAACAAATCATATAACACTAAATTAGTTTCATTAAATCTAACATTAAATATATTTTGATAGTTTGTTTGGTTGGTGTTGCAAATGTTGATACGTTATTCTATAAATTTGATCAAATTTAAAGAAGTTTGACTAAGAAAAAAAATCAAAACATCTTATAATATGAAACAAAGGGAGTAATATGCATACAACTATGCAAAAGGGAGCTTTCAAAAAGGGAATGATCAATTATTGACAAAGTACCCCATTTTATGAAGCATATAGTCTTCTCTAATTTCAAAACGTAAGATGTGTGCAAATTTATTGACGTTAACATTCTTTCCCCCCACTTTACTCCATCCCATCTAACCTGCGTTTATATGTAATGATTTTCTTGTTCAATTTCCAGTTTTCAAGATATTTAAATTGTTGAATAATAAGGATAACGTAAATTCGTAAATTCTCCTCCCTTTCTCTTGGTTCCATCCACTCCTTAATCAATGGATCTACACATAATACGCCTTATGTATTAAATGGATGATGGAAATTTCTTGGGGGCTACTGGGAGGCCTAAGGCCTTGAAATTTCTCCTGAATCAATAAAGACTGTTTTATTTCGATGTTACTTTCATTATTCAACACTAAATGGAAAAAATCATGTCGAATTTGAATTAAAGTAAATATATTTTTATCAGAATATGCTTTACGGACTCTTTTTGAGTTCTGACATTGTTCATGTATGCAAACAGAAATGCACATTAGTCCAGCAGCATCTTCATTTTGTTATTTTAGAGATATAAGACTAGATTACACTGTTATATATTCCTTTCCATAACTATGTAAGAATGGGGTTGTGCATACTTTTATAAATGAATAAATGGGTCCTAGTTCTAAACTTCAGCTCTAATCCGTTCCATGGCCAGCTATTCTAGATGTGTTTCTCCCTCAATCAGTGCACTCTTCCACCTAGCACCGTTCTACCAAAAGTCGCCGCTGTCTGACCTACTTCCGACAAGTGTTTACCCCCAAGATAATCCAAGGATTATCACCAACCAACAATAGGTCTTGAAGCTGAACGAATCACATCTCAGTCTATTTTACATGCTTTATACAAGATAATGTTGATTAGAAACCCTTACCGTGGCAGATAGTTTGCCTGAATTGACCTGGGTATAAAAGATAATTATTAGCCTAGTCCGCATATAACATGCAATATTTTTTTTTTTTGGAAAAAAGGCGTAGAACAATAACAATATAAAATGCACACTACATTTATTTTGCGATCACATAATGGCAATACTTTTTAAACCATAACATATGAATGGCATTGCATGATTATTGCATTCCTTTTTAATATGATGAACTGAACTGGTGGGCATTATACTATAAATAATTACTGTAACATAAGCATCATGAAGGATTCAAACATCAAGACACACTTCAAGTTTTATCTTCTCAACTCTTTGTTTTAACCAGGAAGAAATGGCATAAAACAGAAGTCATGTACTCATGTTAAGCTGAATGCCTGCTCAGAAATTTATATCAGAACAGCCGTTCACCATATGCTTAAAGATGTGTTATGTTGATACAGTTCATCCACTTTTTCGTGTTCAATAGATTATTAACTGCGTCATAAAAATGCAATAACAATAACATTTCATCCTTTATTATGGGCAAAAGAGAATGGAGAAAAAAGGATAGGTAATGCTGGTTCTTATCAGTACACTGCTTTCAGACTGTGACTCTGGTTTTGCTAGAATAGCTAATATCTCTAACAATTACCCTTCACCATTTTGTACATCCATGACAAACTAGTCGATAGGGGGGTTGTCTGAAGAAAGCCTTTGACCAGAGTAACAGCAACAGCGAGTCACAAGATTGTGCATCATACACTTCACAAATCTAGAGGATAGAAACAGGGCATCTCGAAACTTAAAGGTTACAGACAATAAGATATCATCATTTTCCAAAATAGTGGTGGTAAAAATGGAGGTGATAAGAAAACTAACCTCTTGAAGGAACTCAAAGTCAACAAAAGCTGTCCCAGCTTGCACATTCAGTGAGCCCTTTTTTATGAATGTATCTAAACTTGTGATAGTGTATCCTTTGGGAAGGACCCCAAGCAAATACGCTATCAAGAAGTGGCCAGCTTCGTGCTTCAAAATTTTACATAAAAGGATGTTAGCTTAGATTATGTAAAATAAACCACAACGTCAGCATTCAATAGGTTGGAATTTTTCATTTTTTCTGCCATATTTCAAGCTGTTGTTTTGAAGATATTCAACCGCCTTATTGCTGGAAGTAAGCTATTTGGATGTGTTCCTTCACCATTTGGTCCAAATACCCATGTTACTTTTTACAATGTTGATCACTATGAGTTTTTTTTATGATAAAATATGAAATGAAGGGGGAAAAAGAACTGCTACTTCAGCCGCTAATCACTTTGCCAAAGCTTGATCTAACAACGAAAGCTGCGCAATGTACTCATAGTAAAACATTTCCCCATACATATCTATGTTATACCAGGCATCAAAGCCTGTGAAGCAGACTTATAGAGGCAACAGTTAGTTTTCCTTAAAATTATGCCAGCCATGTTGGCTCTGCAACCAAGTAAATTATTGGGAATGATCATGTTTATCCCTTCAGACTTAACACCCATTTAATGCACCAATTTACAAATATATTCTAATGTGGACTTCCCGAGTTTTTAGTATAAACTCACCAACATAAATAGATTATACTAAGAACTGTTGATAAGAAATTAATCAGATCATCAAACTGACACACTTATTAATCGTTGTAATCCTGGTAGATTTTTCTCTCTGAACCACAATTCCAAAATTTGAACCCTCATACCTCTGACAGCAAAACAACATAAACTAGAGATGCCATAATTAACTGTGACTATATTGTACACTAATAAATTAAAAAATTGTATCCAACAGTGGTAAAGGAACAAAGTGGGTAAACATTTATATTTTATCATTTATGAACTTGGGTTCATGGCGAATTATCTTTAATCAATTAGAAGAAAGCATTGTCAAATTTTCTAAACTCACAGAACTTAAGCTCATGTAAATAAGAATGGATGACATATATATACCTGAATAACTCTATTACGATACTTCTGGCTAAGATTGTGACCAATTGTATCAAGAATCAAGTTTCTCACTCCACCACCGAAATATACCTAGAAAGCTGTAGTTGTGTAAGATCAAGAAACAGTGGGTTGTCTGATGGTCATGACATGGGACAAATGATAAGATGACATTAATAGACAATTAATTTTTTGGGTACATGAAATGAGCTCAAGGAAAAAAATGAATTAGAGTTCTAAGAAGTGTATGCAAGTAATACTAAGATTTTTCAGTTAGAGATTATAGAAAAGCTCAAGATCATCGATTGAAAGCACATTACTGTATGAATGGAACAATATGTTAGACTTCATATTTCCACAGTTACAGATGATTAAATACTCCTTGAATAAATTAGCAATGGAGATTTTTTAACCATAACATGGACTTGAATAAATCAGTAGATCAACAGCTACAAGTCATAAAGTCGATGATCTAAAAGGCCATATAATGATGAAAATTTATTTAGATGATTGGAAAGAATCATTATGATGTAACTAACCAAATCCACCGACCACAGAGATAGTAGACCCAAAAACAGAAACAGAACTTGGAGTTTAGAAAGCTCGAATGCAGCTGATACAGAGAGCCCTCCTAGAACTGCAGCAATTTGGAGATTTCTCTCAATTGATCCCAAAGTCAGATCAACAGGAGATAGGAAAGCAGAAGTATCGATCCCATTTAACTTCAGCTCATCCAATGTATAAAGTCTTTGAGGTACCTGATATAGATTTCAGTAGAAAAAAAAAAGACTACCAAGATCAAAATGTAGAGAAAAGGAAAAGGCTAAAGCTTCATTTTATTTAGGCAAAATTATGAATAGCATTAGTTGAAATCAGCACTAAATATATCCTATCGCCCTCTCGGCTCATGAATTCTTTGCCAAATCAGTTTAAGATGCACATAAAAATGCTCCAATCTAAGAACGAAAGCAGAGCGGGTGAATGCATCATCATCACAGCTGCTAATAATCGCGAGACAACATCAGGACAAATATTACATGACAACAAAAGCCAACCTGCCTCGCCGCGCCAAAGAACCGGAGCCCGCCATCCGCCCCCTGCGAGCCGCGCACGAGGGACAGCGCGGCCTCGTCGTTCCCCTTCCGCAGCTCCTCGTCCACCTGCTCGAGAACCGCCCTCAGCCGCGCCGCCGGCTCTGAGGAGGTATTCGCGGCGCGGGCAGGCGGCAGCAGTCGCAGCCTGACGGCGGCCGCGACGCCGCCGGCGGGGTGCGGCTCGGTGAAGCAGTAGCAGCAGGGCGCCCTTCCCAGCCTCATCATCTTTAACACGTGGAGGCCGAAGAACTGAGGCTGGTAAAATAAACCGAGCAGCCAAACATTATCCAAACCAAATACTTCTACGTAGAAAGATCAAAAAAAAAACTACGTAGAAAAAATTGATTGGCCGCTTATGTGGGAATGACACATCCTCGCAATGGACAGGGATTTCTCGAAAAACAAATTCCTTACAGCATAAATGGATATTTAAGAGTAAGATTAGAGCAGCCTTTTTAATCACCGACTTTATAATAGAATAAATTAAAACTAAATAAGTTTATATAATCTAATATGATCGTGATGCTTACGATAATTTTGTTCGAAGAGTATTATACTCTTCGAGGCAACTCACCATTTTTTATATTTTTAGACTAAGCATTTCTTATTTATGCTGCCATATTTATCATAAATAAAAAATAGATTTCTATTTTTTTATAAAAAAACATGGTACAAATGCAAGTGCCCTCAACGCATGTGTCACACCCTAAAAATCCTAAATATATAAATTGTTGTTTAATTGGAATTATTAGAATTTATTTTAAAAGCCTAGAAGAGAAGATCTAATTTTAATTAATAAATTCCAATATAAAATGGGGCCAGATAAAATTTTATTAAATACTTCGCTTAATTCTATAATTCCTAGATTTTTCTGGGATTTATTTGAGCTAAGGAAGTATTTTTAATAAATGGAATTGCATTTCATGAATAATTTAAATCGAAAAAGGTTTTTAAAAGTCTCTTTTGGCTTTGGGCCGAAAGTCAGCCCAAAACCCCTCTCTCTCTCTCCCTCGGCCCAGTCGGCCCAGTACGCAGCCGCAGCCGCCCGCGCGAGCGCGCTGTCGCTGACAGGTGGGGCTCACCTGTCGGACCCGTCGTCAACCTCCGGCCGCCGCCGCCCGAAACCCTAGTGCCGCGCCGCCGCCGTCTCCTTCCAAATTCGGCCGCGCCTTTCCTTATCCGGTGAAATCAATTGAGGGGAAACAATCTTCGGGATCTCCTCTACCTTTTCTCTTTTGGAATCACCGGCTAAAATCGTTTGGAAATTCGTGGATTCGAGGTCAAATCGGATCGGTCTCTTTCCTCCGAACCCCGATGTTTCCTTCGCGTCGCTGGTCGCCGTGGGCCTTCGCCGCCGCCTTCTTGCCCCTATAAAAGGATCCCCAAGCCCGCCGCTACCCGTCGCCACCCTCGCCTTCATCTCTCGCCGTCGGAAGCGCCCTAGCGCCGTGTAACCTTGAGCCGCCGTCGTCGCCGCCGCTCCAGCCGTGCGCCGCCGCCGTTCCGGTCGTCGTTGTCGCTCGGGAAGATCGCCATCATGGTCGCCAAGTCGTCGCCGTCCTCGTCCGCTCCTTTGCCGTCGCTGTCAACCGCCGGAGCACCGTCGCCGCCGTCGACCCGATCTTCTCCGCCGCTTCGACCTCGTCGCCGACGTCGTCCGTTGCTCCTCCGCCGCTTCTTTGGTCACCGGTGAGTTCGCCGCGTCGCCCTCTACGTGCTGGTGCCCTCCGTTCGCGTCGCCGCGCCGTCGTTCGCCGGCGAGTTTGCAAGCTCGAGCCGCCGCCGGTGGTGACGTCATCGCCGACGTCATCGTCGTCGTGTCTCCGTGAGCCGCCGTAGACCCGATCGATCTCGGCCGTCCGTTTTGGATGGATCGATCTCGGCCGTTCGTTCCCGTGAACCGCTGCCGTGCACCCGGTCCACCGCAAACCCTAGCCGCTGACGCAATAAATCTCTTTTCCTTTTCAAAAATAATTCATTATTGCGTCATAATTCAATTAAAATCCATATAAGTGTTTTAATCCGATTTAATCTTCAAAAATTCATAACTAATTCATCTTAGCTCGGATTTAGTTGGTTCAAGTCTCTAAATTTTTCTAAAATTGAGATCTACATGTTAAAAATATCCACATGTACTGTTCATGCTTGTTTATGTGCTGTTTTGGTGATTTTGCTCTTTTCTGTTTAGATTCCGACGTTTCCGGAGAGTCCGTTTTCGCAGGAGAAGAATTTGAAGAGTTCTAAGGCCAGCAAGGCAAGTCACACAGATCCCAAACAACCCTTTGAGCATGTTGATCCTGTTTAAAGCTATTGTTTCTATTCAACTATTGCATTTATTTTCGAATGTCATTGGGTGGAATTAACCTATTGTTTGTTATAGCCCTTTTGTTCTTGATTACTTTATTCCTTGATACCTTGGGTTATTATAACTTGACTAGTTGGGCTATACATATTGGTTCAGCTAGATATTATATGTGATTGCTTAGCCATGCTTAGAAACATTAGCACACTATTGGGATAACTTATGATTCACTATTAATTAATGATGGCTTAATGATAGTTCACGATGGTCAATCGTGATTGGTTAATTAATTACTAGCCAATTAAAACCTGATAATGGTGGGTTGTGAGCACATGGTTTTGAGAGTCGTGCTCATGACAATTAAGGACCGGTTCACGAGTTTCGGTTGTGAAACATTAACCGTGCCAACCACAAGCCAGCGTGGGCAACGGCTTTACCTTTTGTATAGCATGGTTTATTGCGGAGTACCAGACTGAGAAGTGGCGGAGATAAGCCCACGGGGGTCGCTGGGGAGTCCATGCCTTGTTTATAAGGGGGTGATTTATAATCCAGGAATGGTGCGCTGCGGTGGATTGTGTTATGCAAGGGGTATTGTCACAGCTCCTTTCCGAGGTACCGTGGTGGTATTGAGGCACATGGTGACATGATGTAGGGCTGTGTCTTGTGGGTACAGTGGTACATCTCTGATCAGAGTAAAACTATTCGAATAGCCGTGCCCGCGGTTATGGGCGGGTCTAACAATGTCTTTTGTGATTAGTCTCACACTTCTCATCATAATAGAAGATGCTATAACTGGTAATAATTTGATTAGCTCCTGGTTTGGAATGGTATATTCCTGGTTTGGAGATAGGACTGTGCAGCCGGGATGATTGTTCAGAATGGTTGGGCCTATACAACAGGGTATGTTGTATAGCGTTGGATTAATATTGTTTATTTATTACTTAACTGTTTTATTAAATTCTGAAATGTTTATTAAATGCTGTTTGTGCAAATGAAACCCTACTATGCCATCCTTTGTTATCCTGTGCACTTGCATATTTGCTGCGTGGCTTGCTGAGTATGTCATATACTCACCATGCAATCATTCATCAGAGGAAGAGTTCTACAATGATGCTGATGGTGTGGAGGATTAGGTGTAGCCCTGGTCAAGCTGCCTGTGGAGTGGAGCCGTCTGCGCCGTTTATCTTATTTTCCGCTGCTTAGATCTTTATTGATTGAGAGGAACTATCTACCTCTGTAATGACATTTTATTCGCTTATTAACTAGAGTAATAATTGTACTCTATTATCAATTTGTTATTGTGTGCCTCGGCTGATTCCTGGACGAGGGTTCACACACATGTAAGCGTTTGGAATTTTGGATAGAAATTCCGGGCGTGACAGCATGCACACTCACCCCTATGAACGTACACACGCACATTCTACGTGGAGGAGTACCTCCTAATAACTGGATTGGTATATCTTGAGATTGACGAAGTCGCACATTCTACCAGAAGGAGTACCTCCGAATGACTGGGCAAGTATATCTTGAGATTGACGAAGTCACCACAGGTGTCTCGCTGCCAACATGTACGTTGCCTACCCCTAAAAAAATAATTAGCCGTAAATGTGAGCACCATATTAAATGTAGGATTTGAACTTGGGTGGACTGGCTCCATTACAAAGAATCTAACCAATTGAGCTACGCTTACTTTAAAAAAAAAGATTTCTTTGACTGGCTCCATTAAAAAACCTAATCAATTGAGTTATGCTCACTTTGAAAAACTAGTTATTTGTAAATGTTAGACATTACTACATTTTAATTATATAAAAGTGCTATAAATATGTACTGTAATAGGTATTTTCATCAAAATAACATCGAATCAACAGTTTAGAGCTCTCCAAGAGCCCTGTCAAATATTGGTCTATTTCGTACCGAGGCAAAATATTGATCTTCATTTTGCCTATTTCGCAAGATCGAAAAATAAAGTGAACCCTCTTTGTTTCAACAGTCATTCAACCTCCCACTCTCCAATTTCTTGGGTCCCACTTGTTAGTGTCTTAGTGTTTTTCTTTTCTCTTGTTTTTCCCACCCACCCGTATGCTGGCGATCATTATCTAAAAAAAAAAAAACCCGTATGCTGGCGATGCAGGACAACCTTCGATCAGCAGCGTGCAATTTTGAGAAGGATGCAACAGTAGGAGTGACGGAGCCAATAAAAAATTGCGGTGGCGGTGGGAACAGTTGAAGGCAAAGGTTGTGAGGTAGTGTTTGTATATAGGGACTTAACTTTAGTCTCTTTATATAGACACTAATTTAGAGTATTAAATATAGACTACTTATAAAACTAATTACATAAATAAAAGCTAATTTGCAAGATAAATTTTTTAAGCCTAATTAATCTATAATTAGAGAATGTTTACTGTAGCATCATATAGGCTAATCATGGATTAATTAGGCTCAATAGATTTGTCTCGCGAATTAGTCCAAGATTATGAATGGGTTTTATTAATAGTCTACGTTTAATATTTATAATTAGTGTTCAAACATCCGATGTGATAGAGACTTAAAAGTTTTATTCCCATCTAAACTTTTAAGGCCAAGTCGGTATGGGGGAGGACTGGGAGGCTACAAGGGATGACGGTGGCACTGGATGTCAATGATACAAACTGAGTCAACTATGCGCCTGATCAGGGTGCCGGTGTCGAAGAGACAAGAGCGACGATGTCAGAGAAGCGAGGGGGGGTGGATCAACGGTGGCGCTGAATGAGATGACAACTACACTGTCCTACAATGGGATGGAATAGCTTAGTGCCGGCCGCCGTCGATGTGGGTTTGGCCAATGAAATATCGTGGCCAAATTTAGACCCTGTTGGCAAAAAAAAAATTGGCCTTGCGTGTCACATCGGATATACAGACACATATTTGAAGTATTAAACGTTGTCTAATAATAAAATAAATTATAGATTCCGCTTGGAAACTGCGAGACGAATTTATTAAGCATAATTAATTCGTTATTAGCAAATGTTTACTATAGCACCACATTGTTAAATCATAGCGTAATTAGGCTCAAAAGATTCGTCTCGCAATTTACACGCAATCTGTGTAATTGGTTTTTTCTATATTTAATACTTCATGCATGTGTCCAAATATTCGATGTGATAGTGTGAAGTTTTTAGTTGGGAACTCAACACGGCCTTCGTCAATGCCCAGATGAGTTTAGCCATCCGGCCGGTTAGCACTTGGAGAGGTTAAATATTTACTTTATAGAGCCAGCTAGCAAAGGCTTCTGGATCTTAAAGAGATTAGCCCAAATGAACACAAAACAAAATAAAAATTATACTAGTATCTATCAAATTTTTAGCAGCAAATTTATCTGCAAATATATAACAAAATTGAAAGAATGAATGTGTGATCCAACAGGCGAAGAAACTCACTGAAATCAAGCTGAAAATTTGGCAACATTTTTAGTAAATCTGTTAAATGATTCTCCAATCAAACTCGTTGATGGTCCACCGATCTCGTTATACCTTGTGGTAAATGCACCTATATTTTCTTTTAAAAAAATGCACCCATATGGGCATATGGACTTGTATTTTTAAGATAAAAAAAACTCAAAAGTTTTAACAAAACCTCACATATTTATGACGTGAAAGAGTGGCCAAACATGGCTTTGTGAGTCTCAGATTATCGAGAAAAAGCAACGCAGTTTGTATTTGCTAGACTAAAATTTTGCAGAAGGCAACAAGAGAGGTGATGAGTGGCGCCATGGCATCAGGAAAGGGTAAGCCCATCCAGCGCTCCTGAACGTGGCCTCCACCTGCATGTTGCTGAGCCAGAATGCGATGTGCCGGTGAGGCCCAGCGTGATTCTGGAAGCAGATCAGCACCACGCCGGCGACCACCGCGCACACGTGGCGAATCGGAGGGTATTGTACTTTCCCTATCACCTCGCATGCCGGCAGCCGCCTCTCAAGCTCCCACGTCCACGCCCACGGCCACGACCCCTTCCCTGTCCTGAGGCGCCACACCTTGAACACCGTGCCGTGGGGTGCGTCCGCGAGGACGACGAGGCAGCACCCGCCGTCCTCCGCCTCGCCGACGGCGTACTTGGACCGCGGGTGCACGCCCTCGGGGAGGTGGACGTACGAGAACCGCATGGGTCCCGCGTCGAACACCTGCAGCTTCGTCGTGTCGCGGTGCTTCCAGTAGATCCGCCCCGCCGCCTGCATCCCCGGGAAGTAGGAGTACTCGCTGGGGCGCTTCGGGTTGATGACGCGGTCGTAGTCCCACCGGCCGCGCCGCCACGCGCCGGTGCACGAGCTGTACACCGCGCCCCGCGCCGCGCGCTCGCCGTTGTGCTCGACGGACACCACGCGGAAGGAGCCCGGGCAGCCGTCACCGCCGTAGCCGGCGAGAAGGCAGTGGGTGAAGTGGCTGGAGGGGTACCACGATGGTCGACGGATGGAAACTCCGCGGCGCGAGAGCGGGTCGTAGACGAGGAGATCGCTCTCGTTGGCGAAGAGGAGGCGGCCGTGGCGGCAGTCCTGGACGCGCCACCCAGCGTTTGCGTCGACGCGGGTGAGGAAGAAATCGCCGCCTCGTACGGCGGCGTCGGAGCAACCATCAAACTGGGCACGTGCGGGGTGGAAGGTCGGTATCACTGACTCGTCGTCGGCGTCGGTGGCGAAGTGGCCGAGGAGCGAAGGATGAAGCGTCCGGAAGCGGCGAAGGAATGCCCACGAGGAGGCGATCGCTCGCAAGCGCGCGCAGGCACAGGCGGCGCGGGCGAGCGAGGCGATGCACGGGAGGCGGACGAGGATCTCCTCGAGGACGTCGTCGTTGAGAGAATCAATTGAAGGGAACGAGGCGTCCGCCGGCGGGAGGCAGGTCGGCTTGCCGGCGCGCTTGCGTTTCCTGCCGCGTCTCATCGCGTAAAGCGATCGGCGACGGCAGCGACGACGGGTCGGAAGATGGAAGGAACGAATCAATTTGAAGGCATGGTATTTGCAAGTTTTCTCCTGTTTCTTTGGAAATAGCGATATATCTGAGAAGTGGAATTTTGTCCCTCGAGGGAACATCCCCTCGTTTTGAAAATAGCAGATATATCTCAGAAGTGGAATTTTGTCCCTCAAAGAGACATTCCCTCGTTTTGTGTATGTCGTTCAAAGAGTCATCAAATTTTTTTAAAAAAAATTAGTAGGAAAGATCAATATGTGATATATCTTTTCGCAAACATACGTGTTAAAATTCGACTTATACAATTTGAAACAAAAACAATAAATTTGACCGCTCTATTTATAGTTAAATTTGTTATTTTTGTTTCTACTTGTATAAGTTGAATTTGAATTTGTATGTTTGTGAAGTGACATATCACATATTGATCTATTCTACTGATTTTTTTTTCATAGTAAATTTTTTATTTTTGTTTCTACTTGTATAAGTTGAATTTGAATTTGCATATTTGTGAAGTGACAATATCACATATTGATCTATTCTACTAAATTTTTTTTATGACTTTTTAGTTGACATGAAAAATGATGGGATATCCTCTTAAGGGATAAATTGAGTTTTCCATATATCTCCAATATTTTTTAGTAGTTTCGATAGATACGAGAGCTCTGTTCCAATCCAGAACGAACTCTTTCTCTGCAAGGAAGAATATTTATAGTATATATGAAGTCAAGTTTTCCTGAGTCCCAGAGCGATCTGATCGACCGAGTTGTGTCATGCCGTACTACGCACCGTGTATTGAGGCATGAAGCGCAAGGCATCACCCTCCAGTTTTTCCGGTGATCCACCGCCGGCCGCATCGCCCACAACCGTCGACTCGTTCTGCGACGATGTCATCGCGGAGTTCCTCGTGCGGCTGCCGTCAGTCCCGTCGCTGGCTCGCGCCGCCTGCGCTGTGAAGCGGTGGCGCCGGGTGGCCTCGTCCCCCGCCTTCCTCCGCCGCTTCCACGCCCTCCACCCCGGCCAAGCCCAACCTCTCCTCGGCCACTACTACTACACTGAATGCTCTTCGCGGCCGGTGTTCCAACCAGCGCAGCCCACCTTCTCCGACCCCGAACTATCCGCGGTCGTCCGACATGGCGATTTCTTCCTCACTCCCGTCACGTCCATGGGCCGCCTTGAAGTTGAAGACTGCCACCAAGGCCGCCTCCTACTGAGGAATTGCGACACCAACGAGAGCTCACCGTTTTCGACCCTGTAGCCCGCCGTGTCCTGGCGAAGCTCACCCCACCGCGGCATGGCAACAAGCGGGCATTTCATCACAACTCCGGCAGCTTCTTGATCCCTGGCCGCGTCGGCGATCAGGCAGCGTCGTCGTCGTCGTTCCGTGTGGTCACCATGCAGAGATGTAGTACGACAGTAATATACGCCTCGGGAGGAGATCAACGGCTGGACATGGAGCGACTGGCTGTGTACGACTCCTCCACGGGTGCGTGGAGCGCTCGCCCGTGGACCAACACCAGCGACATCGACATGCCGCTGCCTCTCAAAGTGAAACGTTATTCAGCCATGCACGCGCCAGGTCGCATCTGCTGGAAGAGGCTACGCGGCGGCTCTCCTAACAGTCTTGTCTCCCTGGACGCCGAAACCATGGGGTTCCCCGAAGTCGTGCCTCCGCCCGGGGTCCTCCTGGGCCCGTCGTACGCCGTCGGCGACACCGACGACGGCTCCATGTGCTTGGTCAACATGGAGGAGAGAGGAACGATGAGGCTGGTCATGTTGTCTAAGAAAAAATGGCACCTCAGAGTTTGGCTTCTTGGAAAGTCTGGATGCGGCGGCCGCGCGTGGGTGCTGGACCAAGAACAGGAAACATCGCTGACGACGTCGACCGAAGACGCTGCTGATATGCTATGGGATTATGATCGAGCGTGCCGCGTTGTCGCCGTAAACGCCGGCGTCGTGCTGATGTGCCTCCACTCGCCACGACGCCTGAACGACCGCTACATTGCCTTTCGTCTCAGCAACTTAGAGGTTGTTGCGAGTTTTAGTGCGAGTGAGCCTGTGTTTCAGTACCAGATGCCATGGCCTCCGGTTTTGTTGCCCACGGCTTAGCAATGAGTGTTATGTTGCTTCTGAGTCCACTTGGTTTTTGTGACCTCTGTTCTAATTAAGAAGAACGTGTTTCAACACTTAAGTTTTTTATTCCTTTAACTTAAAAAATGCCCGTGCATCACTATAGGAGACAATAGAACCTCATGTTACATAGTCATATGATAAACTAGTTGGCATTCCGCGTCTTTGCCACGGGTTTTGTAGTTTTATCGTCAAACAAAATCATAGTTTAAATTGTTAGGTGTAACTCTATGTATTTATAAAATATATAATAATGTGGATTTATATATGTCTTATATATGCTATTACAATACAATTCATGCTTTATTTTTCCAAGCGCAATTGTGTATTGTTATAATATATGAATATTATTTTCATGTGCAATATGGGTATCGTTATAGTTAGACAATTTGCATCTCTCTACTTCACTCAAGTTTTTTCTAAAAATAGATTTAGGTAACGATACCTAATAATTATATGCTATCTTATCGTGCATAATAAAATAAAACACACATATTAAACAATAATTTGAGTTATATTCGGAAAACATGGTTTTATGCACAATGAGGTGGAGCAAAGGGAGGTGAATGGATAACTAATAAATGATTGAATTGAATGAATAAGTATAGCTTCTTGATCCAACGGTTATTATCTTTGTACCAATATGATCTAATGACTTAAAATTATTGATGATGTGGCTTCTTGTATTATCTTGCTTTATAGGAGTAAATAATCCTTAGTGAGTACCAACTATATCGGAAGATAGGATATCCTCTAAACAAAATAAAAGCCCACTGTAGATTCCAGTTTAGCCTTACCTAGCTCTAACCCTCGAGTTATTAATAGAGCAACATCCATGAATACATAACCATGCCAAAACGTGGGTTCTAATAGAATAATAAATATTAAAAGGAATCCAGTAAACCACTGGGATTATTGTACACTTGTTGACAAAAAATCCGCGCTTAGCTAGCTTATGGTGCCAAAACTGTGTTGGCGCGAACTAAGTCGATGAACACAACGGCCTGGGATATCTGCTTAGCTCCAGTGCAGGTCCAAAAGTTGATAAGATACGGGTGTGCCAGTCAGTTTGATCCTATAACTGACAAGATATACAAATAGTAGATCAATGAGCCAATCGGCTGACAAGCCGGTGGAGTAATTCCGGCCGATGCCGATACCAACCGATAGCGATAGGATTTTGAGCTATCGGCTATATGGTTGATGTAGAGTCTGACACTTGATGTAAACAAAGACAATCGGCTGATGATAATGCAACAAAACAACAATATAATCCAGTAGAAACCAATTGGCTAACAATATGATAGAATAAGCATTGATCCGAAGGTTAAAACATGCATCGGCTAGAAGTCCGATGTCATTAAATCAAAACGAATAGATAAACAGTGAAACCTTTGTCGCGATCGGCTAAATCTAACTTGAATATAATCTTTATAAGCCGATGCAATATCTAGATAACTCATCGGCTGAAACCCCGATGAAACCCTTATTGGAAATCAAAAGGCAGGCTAGAGGTTATGGTTCTAAGCACGACTGGGGCTGATGCAGCGCAAAGTATGAAAATAAACATAATATGTAGACAATCAAGCCCTTGACTGAATTTCAGGGTGGTAGACACCTTAGTTAATCTAATCTGGTAAAGCAATTTAGCCGATATCGGCATAAACCCTAAAACGAATCTTAGCTGATACAAATAAATTGAACTAACAAACTAGATTAACTAAGATATATGATAGATAGGTACTTACATTGACAAGATTAGAGTGTCGAAGCCCTAACCCTGCCGATGCAAATAACCATGACAAGTATAAACTCGTTGAACAATAGAAAAGTAAAAAGGGTGGTGTTGTGCCGAAATTGTATTAGATTGTCCATCCGATTATAATGCTATGGGGTTCATATTTATGCCTGAGTACAAACTTAGTCCATTATGGACTCGATTCAAATTTTCCTAAAAATAAGATACAAACAAGACTACACGGTGGTCTCTTGCCAAATCTCTAACAAAACTGACTTAAATATCCTAATTATTAGATACAATTACCTTATTCGAGTTCTATCTCTAATTGGCAACGACGGTTATCTTAATCTAGGTGCAAACCGAGCCCAAGTTATACCGTATCGGCTGTATTGGCTATCAACCTTATCAACTGTTATCGACTTAAGCTCAGTTTGCAGCCGATACAGTGTCTAGCCGATGCGGAGTCCGACTTCAAAACCAACTTGATCTTGCACCAAATCCGCTTCGATCTTGTTCCTTCTTCTCCGAGTTTGATACAAAATTCCATTGTTAACAACACTACAACAAATTCTCATCGTCTTATTATTTTTTCCATTATTCAAACTTGTATATTATGTCATACTGTCTTAATTGGACTATGCGCTGCAATAAACTTGTATTGTAATAATTGAACTCCAGATGACATTGCCAGAGAAGCGCAATCTGGTATATATCTTGTTGTGTAGAGCATAATTTTATTGCAAATGCTACAACAAAAATCATGTGGATGCAAACCTTGCTTGCAGTTAGGAATTATAAGTCCTCAGGCAACCAATATTTGGTGTGACAATCTAGGTGCTAACTACTTATCAACAAATCCAATTTTCCATGCAAAAAAAAACATTGAGGTTGACTATCACTTCATCAGAGAACGGGTAAGTCATAAACTTTTACAAATTGATTTTGTTTCATCTAGTGATCAAGTTGCAGATGGTTTTACTAAGCCATTGTCAGTTAGACTTCTGGATAATTTGAAGAACAACCTGAACCTAGCTCAGTCACGATTAAGTGTTAGATAAGATCATTGGTCACACCTGATAATAGCAGAACATATAGATCATTGGTCGCCTTTCCTGATTTTGTGGTCCTACCGATTCTATCAGCGCATATCTCTGTAAGACACAATAGGTGTTGTTCCTATCTATATTAACACAAAGGCGATGCGCGGGATTGGTGCGATCGTTTCCATCCAGAAAACTCACATGGTATCAGAGTGTCGATCCATCTAGGGCGATCCTCATGGTGTCGTCATCCTCAAACACAATGGCCACCAATCCGCTTCAAGGCCACTGTGTTTCAAAGAAATAAGGGAAGGCGAATCATGTGTTCTAGAAGGTGCAGATCATCACTGCTGTCCAAGGAGCTTGACTCCAAGGGCATCTCATTAATGCCAGCAAGAAACCTAGCTATTGTTGAGGTCTCCGTCACCACCGATGGCAAGACGGAGAAGAAGACCAATCAATAGGTCATGGGTTACTTGCTCTCGTCCCTATCAAGGGATGTCCATATGCAAGTTGCGACGTGTGAGATAATGACTAAAGCATCAGGTGTGATTGAAGTGATGTACTCAACTTACACCCGGGCACGATCAATCAACACCAGAATTGCGCTCATGAACACCATGAAGGGAACCCCCTATCAGTCCCAGAGTACTTTGCGAAGATGGAGTCCCTTGCCGAGGAGATGACGATGGCTAGCGGTTGTCCACATGACGAAGAAGATCTAATCCAGTATATCGTAACTCAACTTGGTGAAGGATACAATGAAGTTGTTTCAGCTATGTGCGCACGGGTTGAACCAATCTCTGTTGGGGAGTTGTACTCACAAGTTCTCAACTATATATGAAGTCCGTTATGTGGGGGCGTTATTTTTTTTATTTTTTTATCACTGACAGTGGATCCCATGAGCGTCACATAGGATGAAACCGCTATCCAAACAGCCAAGGGACTTGATTTGGTCAGATTTTTGAAGAGTGGGGAGACATTATACCTGGTATTGCGGTTGAGGGAGGCTATTCAATCAGGAGCAAGTATTGAGGGAGGCATCTCTTATACTGATTTTTGGGTCCAATCCCTTACCGTTGATTGGCCACGTGGCTAAAACTGGAAGCAATTTTACATATGATAAAACCGTGCCACGTGTCCTATCCCGTAACACGGCCCGTACCTATCCGCCCCTTCCCATCCCGAAACGCCGCCGCCTCCCCCTCCTCATCGCTCCGCCTCCTATTGCTGCCGGCCGCCGCTGCATCCTTCTCCTGATCTCCTTCCCATGCCAGGCACCACGGCAACCTTCTCCTCCCCATCACCGCCTCCTATCCATCCCCTTCAGACGTCACCGCTGCACCATCCAAGCCACGCCACCAGTCCCTCATCGGACGAGCTCAAGGGTGCCAGATCCGGGCAGAACGAGCGCCGACGCTGCCTCCTGCCCATCCCTATTCTGGGCTCCCCTCGGACGACATGCACGGGCTGAGCGGCGACGCTGTCGATGACACGACGACGACGACATCCTCCTCAGCGAGATGCTCCAGTCGACCACCCCCGACGGTCTCTGGTTAATCCACAGCTGCTGCAGCTTTTCCCCCTTTATTCCTGCTCATCTTTAGGCCTCCTTCTCCCTGACCTCGCTGTGGAGGAACGAGCTAGACGGCGGCAGCCTTTCATCCACCGTCATCCTCAATTTTGTTTATTCTCTGGCAAAGAGGCAATAAAGCTCACCGGAGATGCACACAAGTTACCAATGCCGGTGCTCGTTTCTTTAGGTGAATACTGACTCATCTACACTTTCTTAATTGATCTGGAAAAATGCATTTTTTCTGAGTTCAATTAATCTATTAGCAAGGTTTCCATATCTGACATGATGCTTCATGCTTTCCATGCATACAATCAGCAGATTAATGACCCGTAACCTTCATGTATATTATAATCTGATGAGTATGTGTCAACGGTTGAGGACGTCAATCAGATATCGATCAAATGACCTCCAAATCATTTCATTATCTGTATACTTTGTTAGCAGCGATGCTTTCACCTATGGTCAGGTAGCTGCTACACTAATCTGCAAAAGGAAAAAGAAAGAAAGAGAGAAAAAGAAAACATAGCAAGGCATTTTGAGCTTAAATTTAGTTAGCATTAGTTAAAAAAAGTTAGCACATGATTGTTCGTTAAGATCCAAAACCTTTTGCTTACCTGATGCTAATTTTATGGACATTTGTCAAGTTGTTTATAAAATCTTCTTTATCTTTTTTATGGCACGGAGTAATCTAGCAAAACTAACCCCAAGAAATCGTTTCTACTATGCTCACATCAGTGGGACAATTTTGACCTATAAGAACAGCAGAAAGAAATTGCCCTTTCTATTTTGCTTTTAAAACTAGAGTTTCTTTGCTTTCCATTTTCACCTCTGCATGAATGAAGATCACAACCAGAACTTCTGCTTGGGCTACCCTATAGTCACAAAGAACTTTGTCTTGATAACAGGCTGCATTTCTTTTAGATCACATATACTTGTATTATGCTCTCTCAAAATTATTTGTTTCATGTTATATTCTGATAACCGAGTCACTGCCTTATCCTTTAGATATTAAAATCTGAATTAAAGTCTACCATAGCTCAAATTCAAGGGGCTACATTGTTAATGTTATGTTATGTTCCATGTTATGTTTCATGTTATGTTCCGTTTCTTCAGAACACATGTTTTTTCTGTTCCTTATTTACATTTTCTTAAGTTGACATAGAGTGCTGGGACTGAGAAATGCAGGTGCAGAACTGGGACTTTAACCACTGTACAATTCAGTGAGAGAGCAATGCTCATGCCAAACAAGGCTGTAGTAAATGAGATATCACAAGACGGTGGATTCAATGATAAGTTATATTATTATCCTCACTGAAAATATTGTCTTACTTTCTATTCATTACAAATAGTTAAATCTCCTTATTTCATCATTGATGCTAATCACAAAGTATTGATCATGTAATATCTTTGTAAGGAAAACATATTTGATATGAACCTCATATTGTTTTTATAAGGAGAAACAAAGTTGATCTCTCATTGTCAGTAACAAAAGCAACTGAGTTTGATGGTATGTAAAACTAGATTATCGGGTAAGTTGAATGTAAAATTTTGTGATTATGTAGCTCTTTTTTTTTGTTTTGGATATACATATTTAGTTATTATCAATTCTTATTTACCTGACTTCATAATTAACAGTGCACTGGGTCCATCCAATTGAGCTAGCCTATATATACTAATGCGCGGCAAATATTTTCTAGTGATAGACTTATTCTACTCCAAAATAAAACACCATGATGGTCCAAGGCTTGCTTGAATGACCAGGGCCAAATCGGTCTACTCCCAAAAAAGATCAAGTTAGGCCGATTCTCTCATTAGCAGACATATGCCTTGAGAAACCTTGCTTAACAGTCTTATATGATGTATCACGAAAGTTATTTCCATGATACGTATAGATACATCTCTCGTCTTAACTTAATTCCTGCCAGAATGTGACGTGCATGCGCACACAAGAGCCATCCGGCTAGTATACTCCAGTACTCTGCGAAATTCTTCAGAGCACACCACCGGCCGGAGCGGTCCAATATTTGGCTCCCAAGCACTATAGCTGAGAGTCCAAACATATATATACGTGTTCTTATCTTAACGGTACACGTTACAGTATTCTCTATCCAACAAATCAATTAAACATGCCATGACTTGACTGGAGCTTTGTACGTTCATCTAAATAACAGAATCGAGTAGGCTGCAGATAAGTATGCAGTACCATCGCCTGTTCGTAGAATTCTTTGCCAGCACAAGGAAAATACCGGCACGCCTCGCCAACATTTCCATGCAAAACGAAGAAAATTCTCTCACACGTCGACTATAAATACCCCTCTGCATGCATGTACCAGCTATATACAGAAGTAAGAAAGCAGCTACGTTTACAAGCAGAGATGGAGGCATCCAAGCTAGCAATCTGCAGCTTGTTCGTGCTCGCCGTGGTAGCCGCTACAATGTTTCACTGCTCCGATGCCCAGAACTCGCCGCAGGACTACCTGTCGCCGCAGAACGCGGCCCGGTCCGCCGTCGGCGTGGGTCCGATGAGCTGGAGCACGAAGCTGCAGGGGTTCGCGGAGGACTACGCGAGGCAGCGGAAGGGCGACTGCCGGCTGCAGCACTCGGGCGGGCCGTACGGTGAGAACATCTTCTGGGGCTCCGCCGGCGCCGACTGGACGGCCGCGGACGCGGTGCGGTCGTGGGTGGACGAGAAGAAGTACTACAACTACGCCAGCAACAGCTGCGCCGCCGGGAAGGTGTGCGGCCACTACACGCAGGTGGTGTGGCGCGACTCCACCAACGTCGGCTGCGCCCGCGTGCGGTGCGACGCCAACCGCGGCATCTTCATCATCTGCAACTACGAGCCCCGTGGCAACATCGTTGGCCGCAGGCCCTACTGATCATACGACGTTGTTGCAACAAGCTATATATATGTGTCTAGCACGCATGCATCGTCCCTCGCTCGTTACATGCACGCGCTGTGTGTTTGTGTTATGTCTTAATTAGAGGGAGTAATAATAACATTAGTCAAATCAAATAAGTGAGTAAATGATGTACTTCAGCTTGGATTGAAATAAAGACAAAACCACGATCGATGCGTCTTGCTCTTTTCTATATAATATTACTCTATTCCTGTATCTAGTATAACTCCAAGTTCTAAACTGTAATCGATCAATTATATGTATATATATTCGAAACAAACTCTAACAAACTCTACCTTGACGAATATACCACGCCAACCTGAATCTGTCACTTGCTTGAATCTCAGTGTCCTAGGACTTGAGTTCACTACTACAAAAATGCACATAGAGGTTGGCACTATAGGTGTCGGAAGTACTAAAACCAGTACCTATAGATCTTTTCCCACTTCTACTGGCTTAAAGTATATAGAACCGACGCATTTGAGCAATTACAGGTGCTAGTTCTAAATAAAAACCACCATCAATACACATAGGTGTCGGTTTTTTTAAAACCAGCACCTAGGTGCCGGTTTTATTAAAAAACCGATACCTGAAAAATCGAGCCAAGACCTGAAAAATCACCACACCCACCCAACCCCCTCTTTCCTCATTTCCTCACCCACCCATCTTATCTCCATCTCTCTCCTCCTCCATCCACCGCTCTCTCTCCCTCACCTCTCTCTCACTACACCACTCTCTCCCTCTCTCAGTGGCGACGGCGGGAGGGGAGGCGGCGGTGGCGCCCTCCTTCTCCTCCCCTCCATCCGACGACGGCGGCAGTGGTGGAGAAGGCTGGTGCGGAGGGCGAGGTTTCTTTTAGGTCTTGATGTTAATGTGTTCTTTATGTTCTTGATGTGCTTGGGTCGGCTTGATTGAGCTGAGTTGGAGTTTTTTATTTCTCATGTTCATTCTTGTAGGTGTTGGTTCTTGGGTAAAACTGGCACCTATACATTATTATAGGTGCTGGTTCTACAACCAGCACCGATGGCTGAAGTCATCGGTGCCGCCTGCTGGGTGCCTATTGGAAAACCCGGCACCTACGACTGGTTCCCAACCGACACCAATGGACTTTTCTGTAGTAGTGGTTGATTCTTCCGTTGCTTACGTCAAGCCACCCCGATGAACCTTCACCAAGCTCACCATAATAAAGAGACTTCGCTATCCCTGTAACTTCTTTCTCTTGACTCCACAAATAACAGTGCTCCACCTTCTTGTCATGGTTATGGATACCACATACCCAATAGTAATCGACTAAACTCAGCGGGGCCCATCATATACCAAGTCTTATACAGAATTATATCTCGTATATAGAAGGAGTTCCGGATAAGGAAGGATGAGTAGAGTTCTATATGGAAACAACAAGGACTACTCGAATTGTATCCATATTAGTCTCCCTAGTTCGACTTGGACAAGGGGACATCTATGGGTATAAATACAAGACCCCCTAGGAGGAGAGGGGAGATACAGAGACACACAATGGACACGAGACACAGAAGCCAACACACGCCGTCAGACATCGACATCAGAGATTAGCCTGGACGAACCCAATATGGTGCCTACGGAGGCCGACAAGAGGAATCTAGCGCTATCTCTGATCTCGACGAGTTTGTACTCGAGGAGGAAGACTACCCTGTTGTCGACTACGTGTTGGTTATCTATGCCGCCAAGTCGATGACAGCTAGATAGGCTATCCAAAATATTGTACTTGTGTGATTCTAATGAATATAGAGCAATACCGGCTATGACCAACATGAGTAGGGCTATTACCTGTTAGATAAGGGGCCCGAGCCTATATAAAAATCCTTGTCTCTATCTCTTTTACTTCAATCTCGCATATACCCTGGCACCAACGATCTCCAAACCATGCAAATACCGTAGTCGTGACCTAAAATGTCGAAAAGTATCAACCCACCAATCAGGTGAGTGGAAAATAGAGAGAACTGTAGGTAAAAATTTACCGTACCCCGATGTTCCTTCGCCCTCGCTAATGACCATGTTTGCAGACTTTTTGTCGTTGTGATCAGGACAATCCTTGGCCCAATGCCCAGACTTACCGCACACAAAGCAGTTGCCCTTCGCCTTTCCCTTGCATTTCTTCTTAAAATTGGTTGTTGCCTTTAGTTTGACATCACGTTTGACTTTCTTGTTATTGTTGTGGGGTGCATTAGGGTTCTTCTTTTGCACCAAGTTAGCGCTAGAACCTCTCTTGATCTTTTTATCGGGGTTGTCCTTTGCCCTCACCTTCTCCTCAACACCCAAAGAGCCAATGAGATCAGTAACACCGAACTCTTGCCAGTGTTTCAGAGAAGTGGCACAGTCCGATTAAGAAGGTAGCAATTTTGCAATAATGCCACCCGCCACAAACTTGCCCGGCAAGTCACAGTTTTTATTCTCAAATTCCTTTGCCAGTGCCTAAATCTCATGAGCATGCTCTACTACAAAACAATAATTGACCATCTTGTAGTAATAGAATTGCTCCATGACAAACAACTCACTGCCAGCATCGGAAACTCCGAACTTGGCCTCAACTGCATCCCACATATCCTTCGCTGAAGGCATGTGCATGTAAACGTCCAATATATTGTCAGCTAGTACACTGATCAATGCTCCATGGAACAAGCAATCCGCAGACTCGAACATAGCCTCCTCCTTAGGAGAGAGAGGCGGTTCACTCGGTTTGCTCCAAGAAACAGAGAAGCATAGCCGTCAAACACAATAGTGCACGTGCTTTCCACCTCTTATAGTCTGAACCATCGAAGGCATGTGGTTTTAGTGATGCGGCAAAGCTAACTACCGAAAAAGACCTATCAGGTTTTTGGATTGTTGGAAATATGGTCATAATTTGACATATTTTAATCTAGAAAAACAAGATAATAAACATGACATGTGAAAAACGAAATGATTTAGTTATAGTGCTAAACATGAACATGCTAGTAATAGTAATAGCATCATCTAGCAACATGTTTAACACTAAGGTGAATAGAGTAATATACCTAGAGAATGCTCCAGAGAATGAGATATTGCTATTGTTGTTGTTGCCTCCGTTGATGTTGTCGTTCTCGCCTCCTCCAGTACCGCCACCGACATGTCCACCGTTTACGCCTCCATCAGTCGACATGGTGATGAATGAAGTAGACATTGACGAATAGTGAGTAGTCGCGCCTTGCGCTCCCCAAAAACCTGATCTCTCGCTCGTCCGTGCAAACATCGCAGCAGTGCATGGTTTCGGAGGCCTAATCTCCCAACGTATGTGCACACACTCGTCGGGATGAGATTATCGTGGCAGCAACCGCATTAGAAGTGGATGAAAAGTGTGTATATCTCTTTTCACGCATGAGATCAAATCCATTCTCATTTTATAGGAGAAATGAAAGATGAAGAGTAAGATAGTCATGGAATAGGAAGATGAATAGAGTAACTAATTGTCATCAACTATTCTTCACTACACAACCATCAATTAGGAGAGTACTTGGTAACCTATATCAAGTACTTGATATATGTTAACCAATAGAATAGGAAGAGGAATAGAGTGACTGATTGTCATCAACTAGCCATCAACCATCATCCAGTACACAACCATCAACCAACCATCAATTAGGAGTAATTGATATAGGTTACCAATTCATTAATCAAATGGATTAATTCTCAAAACTCTTCGTCCCACTGATATCCCATAAGAGAATGAATATACACAAATTCCTAGCATAATGAGCCTTGAAATTTATTTGATTTGAATGGATCAATTACCCAATTAAATCAACACTTGGTACTAAACGCATGAAGAAAGATGAGAGATGACAATCCTATATACAGAAGAACATAACGTGTGGAAATAATATATTCTTCACTTAATGATTCCTAAATTAACAACAAATGTGTTACCCATATTCTTCGCTGATTTCAGATAACGTGGACAAAAATTTACAAATAGAATCATGCAACAGGTCTTGACCTCTGAATGCTATTACCAATATAAAAGCTGGTCATGTCTGAAGCTACCGCCCCCCCCCCTTTCCCTCAATCACTTTTAGTTTTGAATTTTTACAGTGGTAAACAAATACATACATATCAGGCACAAACATAATCAGTTGGCATCATAGTAAATCACTGAACTATTTCAGAGTAATGCTTAAACCTGAATATAACATGCTGTGATGCCCCTGACTGCTTCCTTTTTGAAATTATATGAAATTCGTAAAGAATATGGCTCATTGTGTCAAGGTATGGAGGTTTGGAGGAAAGTTGGCCCAATGAGTCTATCTCGCTCATTCTATTCTCATTGCGGTCTATTGAAATTGATCATTTTTATATTTTTCTCTATTTTGCAATTATTTAATTTACACTTTCATTTCTACCAAAATTCTAGTATGTTTTTATGGTAAAATTTACTACATGACTTTTAAAGTTGCTGGACATCTTAAAAAAATGTGAGACTGTTGTACTACGCCAAAAAAAAAGGTAATTTGCTAGGGCACCACAACTATCTATCTATTATATTATTAAAGGAATAGAAAAAAGAGTCTCTACGTTCGCTCTCATGGCCTAGAAATTCTCACATTAATCGGAGAAAAAGAAAAATCAGAGTCCATATAGAAATACAATTTAGAAATACCTGAAATTCGAAATTAAAAAATAAAGAATATTAGAAGAGGAGACTAGAGTCCATATAGAATACAATTAGGAAATAGTTGAAATTTGGAATTAAAAATAAGGAATATTAGAAGAGGAGACTAGAGTCCATATAGAAATACAATTAGAAAATAACTGAAATTCGGAATTAAAAAATAAGGAATATTAGAAGAGGAGACTAGAGTCCATATAGAAATACAATTAGGAAATAACTGAAATTTGGAATTAAAAATAAGGAATATTAGAAGAGGAGTATAGAGTCTATATAGAAATATAATTAGGAAATAACAGAAATTTGGAATTAAAAATAAGGAATATTAGAAGTAGAGTATAGAGTCCATATAGGAATACAATTAGGAAATAATATAAATTTGGAATTAAAAATAAGGAATATTAGAAGTAGAGTATAGAGTCCATATAGAAATACAATTAAGAAAAAAAGAAATTCGGAATTAAAAAATAAGGAATATTAGAAGTAGAATATAGAGTCCATAAAGGAATTTTAAACTAACTAAAATTTGGAATAAATATAATAAAATTAAAAGTAAAGTTTAGAGTCCGTATGAAAATACAATTTACAAATAACTAAAATTTAAAATTAAGAAAAACATGGGAAGGAGAGTTTAAGGTCAATATAGGAATACAATTTAAAAGTAACTGAAATTCAAAACTAAAAATTAAAGAATATTGAAAGATGGGTTTAGAGTCCACATAGAAATACAATTAGAAATAATAAAAATTTAGAAATAAAAATAAATAATATTGGAAGAAGAGCATAGAGTCTATATACAGAAAATTCGGAATTAAAAAATGAAATATTAAAAGACGAGTATAGAGTCCATATAGAAATATATATAATTTACAAATAACTAAAATTTGATATTCAAAATAATTAATAACTAACACGTATATATAATATAATATGAAAATTCAAAAATAAAAATAAATAATATTGGAAGAAGAGCATAGAGTCTATATAGAAATATAATATATAGAAATATAATTTACAGAAAATTCGGAATTAAAAAAAATTAAAAGACGAGTCTAGAGTCCATATAGGAATATATATAATTTACAAATAACTAAAATTTGATATTAAAAATAATTAATAACTAACACGTATATAAAATATAATATGAATATTACACATTAGTAGTTTTGTAAAGTTATTGCAAAATTTAAAATTATGTTGTCATTTTAATATATTTGAATAATATAATGAGAAAACATATATGTTATTATATGAGAGAAAATATAATGATACTAGCCGCGTAATCTGCGCGGACCACCATACTAGTTATTTTATTATTTTGGAGCCAAATGGAGAGACATATGAATATATTGTTTCTAGAAGAGATATGGCATTCAAACGCCTAGGATTTTAGGATGCCATGCCATCTCCTATGTTAGGCAGCTGATTCTTGTCTTCCACGTCCACGTCATCCAGTCCATCATGGCAGCAACGCTCGAAGCTGTCCGCGGCGGCCTGCGGGACGGACACAAGCGCGGTGGCGCCGCGCGGGTCGCCGATCACCGGGAGGAACAGGCAGTAGACCTCGCTGGTAAGCGGGCCAAAGTGGACCGGCGTCCCCGCCCCGAAGTCGATGTCCTCCAGCCCTTGCCGCGTCAGCGAGGAGATCGTGAAGGTCGCCGCCAAGTCCGGCAAACAGCCCCGCCGCACCTCCAGGAGGTCGATCACGGACCGCACGTAGTCGTCGTCGACCCGCTGCTTGGTCTCCTGCACCAGCCTCGCCGCGTCGGGCGCCGAAGCCGCCAGCTGCCCGGCCGTCGACTCGGCACACGCCAGCACGAAGCCGTTGCCGCAGTAGCAGCCTCCCGACAGCTCGGGCTTGACCAGCCGGCGTATGCCCATGGTGAAGAGGAGCTTGATGGGGAGTGAGGCCGGCGGGTCGAGGGCACGGACCCACGCGCGCCAGACGTGCGCCGCGAGCGCCTCGAAGGACGTGCACTGCTCGAGAGGCGACGCCGACGGCGCGTACAGCTTCTTGAGCCGCGCGACGTGCGCGGCCGTGAAGGTCACGGAAACCGGCGACAGCGGCGGGGCGAAGAGGCGCGACGAGGCCTCCGCGACGGCGGAGGCGTCATCGCCCCCGCTGGCAGCGGTGTACTCCGGGTGCGCGAACGCGATGCGCGGGGTGCAGCGCGGCGCGAGGGCGCGGCGGTCGTGGCAGGGCGCGACGGCGGGATGCGCGAGTTCGGAGTCTTCGGACATGGCGGCGCGCGCCCAGGCACGGAGGAAGTGCGCGGCACCGAAGGCATCGGAGACGCAGTGGGCGATGGCGGTGCAGAGGATGGTGCCACCGCAGCTGAGGTGAGTTACCTGAACATGTCCGTGCCACGTGGATACGAAAACCAGGTTACGTCACATTGACTTACAATTAATGATTTTCTCTGGAACTCCCTATATTTATGCCATCATATTTTTCTAAAAAATTATCAGCATATAATTACATTGTAAATCCCTAAATTACATATGTAATTTTATGTATATATAATGTAAGTCTTAAAATTACATACGTAAGTCGATATAAATAAAAGAGATGTTAGTATAAATTCAATGGGAAACTAATGAATAACAGGAGCAGTAGGGTTGTAGGGTTGTAGTAGACTAAGCGAATCAAACGTTCGTTAAATTAAGCATCAATAGTGTAGCATGAATCTACATGATATTCAACGGTCAGATTAACCGACTGTGATCAAGGTGTGTCGCCATAAATATAGCATGTCTGTTTTTTTTCCGTTGCGAAAGAAATGCATGTGACTGCTAATAGCTTTACGAAAAACATGAAAGTTCAACCACATAGGTCCATTTGCAGCCTAAATACACATCAACTCATCCGTCTTTCAGAAAATTCTAAATTAAAACAAATTCAGAATATAGATTAAAATGTTGTATGTCACTCCACAGCCATCCAACATGAAATTTAATCCAATACACATATCAAACCAAAGACACATTTTTTTTCAATGAATAGCGCCGGCATTATTCATAAGTGAATTTGACTATTTTGTAATACCTCTGTTCCATATTATAAGCGGCTTTGACTTTTTTCCTAAGTCAAGCTTTTTTCGCTTTCACTAAATTTGTAGAAAAATATAGCAATATTTTTCAATATATATTCAATGTTAGATTTAATAAAACTAATTTTGTGCTATAATAATTGCACTATTTTTCTATAAATTTGGTAAAATTTTGAAGAAGTTTAAATTTAAAAGTCAAAATGACCTATCTCTACTATTATAAAAATTAAAGATATTTTTACCAGTATTTTGGTACGTCATCCGTGTATGAGTCAGTTTTTTAAGTTTGTTTTCTTTTGAAAGTACATATCCGTATTTGAGTCAGTTTTTAAGTTAGTTCGCTTTTGAAAATTTAGGAGTCTTATAAGAAATCTCTTAAAAAAACTCACAGGCTAACTTGAGACGATGGATTTCTAATTGCAGCTCATGATTAGCTAAAAATAACATATATATCCAAGCGAATTCCCACAGTGTATTTCACTTTGATTAAACCATATAACAATAATAAGATTAAAATAACGTTCACCCTTTGCAACGCACGGATATTTTTTCTATTAATATAAAATTATAAAACGGAGGGAGTATGTCTTTATATACTAGATCAATATATTTTGGTCCACAAAATTTGCTAGATTATTGAGGTCAGTGAGAAGCAAATGATGGTGCCTGCACTCGAGATGTACAAATCCAATTCCTTGCAATACACTATGTATAGAAGTTCGATTTAAATTATGCATATAATTTAATGGAAATTTATTGGTAATATACCGGACGTGACTCCAGCTCGGGCGCCCGATGGGAGGAGATTAAAATCGGGCACGGATGTCAGCATGACGTCAGCGTCAGATTTACGTGCAAAGCTATTTTAAACAGATTTTTCTCTTAAATTACTTATCCAAATCATGATCCGATTGCACCATTAAATTCATTGCAATTAAATCTCCAAAACAAGACCACACATGGATATATTCCGATGAAAAAAAATAGCTTATTATTGAATTATTTTTAAATGTTGCACGATATTTCACCAGGTATATCGGAATTGTTTCACTAAGTAGATCGAAAATGTTTCACTCGTTTAAATCGGGTGTTGTTTCACCTTATATAAAAACAATGTTTCAGCAAATAGTGAAAGAATGTTTCAGTTAACTGCAACATTTGGTACATACATAGTGAAACATTATAAGTATATTAGGTGAAACATTTTTCGGTGGAACAAAAAATAAAACGAATTCCCTTAATAGGGGGTTTCCAAAATATATGGGTTTTTTGTTGCAATGGAATATTTCAGTTCACTGCAACATTAGATCTATACATAGTAAAACATTGTGAGTACACTAGGTAAAATATTTTTGGTGAAACAAAAAATAAACCAAATCCACTTAATAGAGAGTTTCCAAAATATGTGGGTGATTTGTTGCAGGTGGGGGTAGAGACTGTGGTGGGGCCAGGTGGCATGCATGCGCGTGGGGGGCAGGGGACGGGGGGAGCGCCCGATTTCTGCTCCCCCGCCGGTCGACCGATCCCTGTCATTCGGCTAATATACATACAGCTACATATAATGGTTCGAATCGTCCCCAACTTCTAGTAATATACACACCACAAGTTTCACCCATCTGAACAATTCTAATTAATTCCGTCCTGTGTATATATATGTCCAACTTCATGTCCCATCCCCACAACCCGTTAGATCAACCTGTGACGTATTCTCTGTCCAACCATCTACTAGATCGAACATGCACCCTCTTGGCAGGTGTTACTCGATGTCCAATATTTAAGGGTGCAAGCGGCTACCCGTAAAAACCCACTTATATGCTAAACTAATCTACGAACTCGTTTATTTTGATCTATAAGTGGGTTCGCGGGTGACCCACTTGCACCCCTACCAATATTTGTAAGTATCAAAAAACGAAGCAAATATATATGACCATATATAGACTATCTGCATCGTATGATAAATATATAAGGTATGGTCATAGACTTCTCTAATTAATTATATGAATGGAAGTAACTATATAAAAGTACTTACTTGTACGACTAGTGGTGGCGTGCACACAAAGCTCTGCTCATCTTTATAGAGCAGCTTCTTCCAAGACTTATGAGGCTTGGCATGCCCTAGGATGAAGTCCCCAGCAGTGAGGCCGGGCAGAAATCCCTCAGCAAAGAGAACCCCCTCTGAGTTGCAGTCAATGATGAGTTTGCCATCGTGCTCATTGCTAGCCCTCAACCTACCAGCGAGTGGGTAATAGTCAACAAGGACTCTAGAGAGTGCCACCTTCAGAGTATCCATGTCAAGGGTGCCGGTGAAGACGTAGATGTACTGGATGGGGAAGTGGAGGAGGCGTTGGTCATCGAGGTTTGAGAGGTACAGAGCAAGCTTGGGCGTTGGTTTGCTTGGGGTAACCAGCACGGGGGGATTATTGTAGATGCACTCACCTACTATCTCCATTGCTCCAACTAGTTGCACCACACAGGACCAATGGATGTATGTTCAAGATTTGATGTTAAGAAGGAGAGGGGAAGTCTTCAACAGATAGAAGAGGCATGCATGTGAGGAAAAGGACCTATGTGGCACGAATTTGAAATTTATCTAACAAATGAGGTCAAGCAGTTTTTCTAAACTATCTATCTATCTATCTATCTATCTATCTATCTATCTATCTATCTTTCTATCTATCTATGCTTATCTATCTATCTATCCATCAATCATTCAGCCAACATGTCTATTGATTTGTCCGTCTATCAATATGTTTCTTTATATATATCTATATATACACTATATCTATGACTATGAAAAATATCTTGTGGACAAAGCTTTCGTGTACACATCATGCACGACAACGAACTATTTTATCAGAAATTTTAAAACAAAACTATACAGCCAATAGTATTAAACCGATGCGTAAATTCATAACCTCATTCATTATATTTTAGCCGTATCAATTTTTTTTGACAATTTGAAAAGTATAAATGTATTAAAATTCAGTCTTTTTTTTGTTGTTCCCTAAATATAATGTGAATATGAGACTTTACACATAGATGTATTGCTATTAAAAGTAAAAGTCCAAATTTTTCTATTTTTTTTGTGAAATTTGCTAGTTGATATGTACGGCGTGTACACGAGAAGACTTTGTGCGTAGGATACGTTCACTGTATCTATATCTATATCTCTATCTCTATCTATATCTATATCTATTACGTCTTCCTATCATCTACCTATTTGTCCATCAATCAATCAATCAACCAGCATGTATATCTATCTCTATATCTATATCTATATTTATATCTATATCTATATCTATGTTTGTATCTAAATTTATATCTATATCTATTACTATGTCTATATCCATATCTATATGTCTATCTATATCAACTTCTATATATATGTCTCTATCTACATATTTATATCTATCACCAAAAGGTCTATTAAACATCCGAGCCCTCCTAGGACTTCTATTATACTTTTTAAAAAGTTGAGAAAGTCATAAAAACAACAAAACTCTCAGATCGTCGGTTTTCACTTAAACGAATGGACACATTATCTTAGACCACTCGATTTCCTCTCACTCCCCTTTATTTCCCTGTATTCATCCACCCCCACGTGAACCATCCTCTTATCCAAGGCATGTAGGCACCCCCACGTCTCCCTTTTATCTCTACAGTACTTTATTTGGGAATACCATACCATAATTTCTGATAAGTATTTCAAATAATCATGACAATCAAATCATATTGTAACGTACCCGAAATTCTAGGACTTAAAATTTCTTGTCAAAATAGTTAGAGGTTAACTTCTCCAATTTTTGAGAGCCAAAAATTTCCGTTTTAATTTAGGTGATGACCAACTTAAACCATTGCATGATTAAAATTTGAGAACAAAATAAAACCTTTTCATTCCCAACATTAGACTAGAAATGTCATCAAGCATTTGAGCATACATGTGCATAATGCATGCCTAGGCTCGAGTCCCTTGTGCATTTGGATTATGGTCTCGCTTTTCATAATTGGTCTCGTGAGCATAAACTAAAAGGGTTAAAATTACTAAACAAACCTATAGTTAATCTTGGGTGATAACATGTGGACTTAATATTAAACTCAAATATCATCTTCTCAGCCCAAAAGAAGTTTAATGTAATCCCTGTAACAATATTAGGTGCAATTATGAAGTAGGAACACATATACAAAGTAAAGTAATCCTAATTCTCTAAAATATTATGTGCAAGTTAAAAACCATGGAAAAAAAATTAAATAGACAATGTTTAGCACAAGCAATTCACTATAATATTGGTACAAGTTAATAACTAAGTTTAATACCACAAATTAATCAGTCAAAGCAGAAAACTAAAAGGAATCAAATTAAATTTTAATCGGCTAAAGCCATACTTCATCCAAAAGTACATTTAACTGCTCATAAGTGAACATGCAAAATAATTTATTCAAATACTAGATAATTTATCATGCCTAAATATAATTTTTCTAGAATTTTCCTCCTCTGTTTAAGCCTCCTAAAAATTCAATCTAGCTTTCTAATAGCCGATGTTTGTTTAATTTCTGTGAGAAGTCTACCCATTATTTTTATGTGCAACCAAAGAAAATGGAATCTAGATATAAAGATCTACCACCAGTAAAATCTACACTAATTCTTCTGGTCCACATATTAAGATATTGAGTTGCAAACTTAGGGGAAAGAAATAATTCCGAAAATTATCCAAAAACTAAGTCTATCCAAACTCCTACCCATACCTCTCTTCCTAGCCTAGCTTCCATCGACTTGGCCCCACCTGGCAGCATCTCCAGCTCGCCCTTCCTCTGTCCCTCATCCTCAGCCGACTAAGAAACACAAAGAGGGAGAGATCGAGAGCCAACCGAGTCTTGGACACGTCGACACGTGGTGACGACATGTCGACGCCTTCAAGTCACTGAGTCATGCCTCCATCTCCTCCAGACCGAGTCGCCCAACTCCACACATCACTCTGGAGCTGAAGAAGCCGAGGGAGAGGTCCTCAGCCTCTCTGTCATCCTCAACCTCGCCGCCGGTTGTAGTGACGACGACCTTCGCCATCTCCGTTGAGTCAAGGTCACCTCCATCTCTTTTGCGTTCCCATCTCTCCACACAATGCCAAGCATTTCCTCTTTTGACCTAAACCCCTCTCGTGCAGTGCATCGCCGGGAACACAAGCCACACCGACAACGCCCCGGAGCACGCACCGGAGCGCCGCCGCTTCAACCATCGTCGTCGTCCGGCCATTCTCGACCACCTCGGAGGAAGCCGCTGCGCCATCGTCATCGCCTCAACCTCCTCTTCAATACGCCTCAAGAACCCTAGCCGGAGATGTGAAGGACTCGGAGAACGCATCTTTTCTTTACCGGCGCCGATCTAGAATCGCCTCCGCCGTCATCATCGATTACCGCTGCCTCGGTGAGCCATTGTTCGATTCCTTGCGCATATACCATCTCCTTGACCTCACAACCCTCGTGCATGCTTGCTTGAAGCAGCTCATTGTCCCGTTCGAGCCGTCGTCGTTCACCCGAGGAGGAGCACCGTCGCCGAGCCGTTCCACAAGTCACCGCTGCCACCAAGACCTCGACAACCCTAGCTCGACCCACGGTGAGCATCCTGAAGGCTAGAAGACCACATGCATGCATCCTTTTCGTTCGGAATCGACTTCCATGCACACATGCACTTTCACCCCAAGAACCACCGCCGCTCACACTCGCCATCGGCGCTACTCCGATGTCCTCTAACCAAGAAAACTAGAGGAATGGAATCACAAGAGCTTGCTCTTCATTTTATCTCTTGACCTCAACCTCAAACGAGCCACCGTTTGCCGCTGGCGAGCTCGAGATCGAGCTCAGCCATGGCTAGCTCTGCTCTATCTAAAGCAGATTAAGTGCAGGGATCCGTTTACAATTGTAGAAACACACTGACATATGGGCCTAGGACTGCGGGTTGATTCCTAGAAACCTCAAGAGTCTTTGTGCATATTGGTCCCTCACAGCCATGTGGACCCCATCCTTTAAAATCTGAAGAATAATTAAGAAAATGCCCAAACAAATATATGTTTAGCAGAAAAATGCACAAAGTTGTAAAATCTATATAAAATCAAATATAGCTCATTTTGAAGTGATTCCAGTTGCTGTAGATTATTGAAGTTATGAACTTTATTCCAGGAATATAAAACTTGACACTCACTGTACAAATAATGTCTCTAAAATTTATCTAAGATAGGTCATACATAAAACATGTACAAACTTATAAAATACATAGAAAATTCATCTCAACTCATTTTGAAACAAACTCAAAAACTGCAGATTCATCATCATGCACTCTCTGATTAGGTGAAATAAAAGTAATTACTTACTTTGCATCAAATGCCTCTAAAACTATTATATCTAAAATGATTAGTTTTAGATAAGCTAAACTTTAGAAATTCATGTAGAACCCAATTTAGCTTCAATTTGAATAAACTTAAGTTCTGTAGGATCACCAAAACACATATTTCCATGTTATGAAATAAGATTATATACTTACTGTGTAGTAAAAGTCTCTAAATATTCATATAAGGATTTACTAACATAGAGCAACCTTTAATTTGTAAAACTTGTAGAAAATTCATTTTTAGTCCAAATGAAATGAACAAAGTTTCCATAGAACCAGCAAATAGTTATCTTCAACATAGTAAAATAAAATTTGGCACCTTTTGTAGAGAACATAGATCAAAACCTTAACTTAGTGAAATAAGAATTTAAACACATAGTGTTGTTTAAGTAATACATAAACATGTATAAGTATATATACACTTTAGGTCTAATTAAACCTAAATAAAAACTGATTGACCAGTGAAGCCATAGTTCCATCCTCATCCACTAAAACTTAGAAGAACTTAGCTCATATGACAATTTCTAGGTTAATATAATATATTGCTAGTTTAGATTAGAGCATCTCTAGTTTATAAAATATGAACCATAGTAGTAAAGACCATAAACATGTGAAATAAAAATGTTTTAGTTAACCAAATTATTCCTTTTGTTCAACTTAAACAGGAATTAGCATATTTTGAACCTATAACTCAAAAGTCATGAACATATAAAACACTATATACCAAAAACACGTTGTAACTTGTAAAATCTATAAGAAAATCATTATAACTCCAAAAATGGTGAAACCAAATGTGTTAGTCTTAGAAAACACATCTCTACACCCCTGTGAAGTCTAATCTAATAAAAATCACTTTACAAAAGTATTTCATAACACTACCTAAGACTATATTACTATAAACCGATAAAACTTCTAAAAATTCATAACTCCCTAATGGAATAAGATAAAATAAAAATTCTTTCACCTAAATTCATTTTAGATCAGTACCAAGCCACTGTGCATAAATCATGCATTTTAGAGCATTTTGGATTTTCAGCTCTTTCGGTGTTTAATTGCATATCGTGTCCTTTATCTAGATAATTGCATAATCGGTGAAGGAGTGGATTAGGTGCTAACATTTATCTGATCAAGGCAAGTTTTATCCTCCCATCCTTTGAACACATTGAATCCCATGATTTGAGGAATGAAAATGTTTGTTTGCAAAGTTGCATGTGAACTTAGCCTATATCGGTATTTAAAATTTGGTTAAGGTAGTTATGACATATTTGCTGCATATCCTACCTTGAATAATTGATCCTCTTGCTGTTTGAACCCCTAGAAATGGTTAGAGTACACTCTTTGTGCTCAAATGG